AAGAATTTTTTTGTATCGGCTGCTCTTTTCGCAAGGGCTGCGGAAGAGTCGGAAATTCTTCGAAACTTGGTGGTGGAGGGAGAGGTGGGGATCTAGGAGGATGGTTGGTTCTTGCTGTTCTCCTATGCGCCCTCAGATCCTTCAGGACTTGGCATCCTCGGTAGTTGGCCGGGTGGTCTCCAAGGCAGTTTGCGCAAGTTGCCTTTGTCTCCCTGGTCTTCAAGCAGGATACACTTTCGTGGCCTTGGCCACACTTAACACATCGTGGAGAATGGTTGCAGTATGATTTTGTATGACCATATTGTTGGCATCTTATACACTGAGGTATAATTCTTTTTTTTCGAGGCTCCTCAACAACAATTTTTGTATAATAAATTGATTCGATTTCATAAATTTTTTCATTGAAAGTGGCCTTTGTTATGTCTATGAAAAACATGGGCAAAGGTTTTTTGAATCGAGAGTAAACATTTGTGATGTTTGTTGCAATGTAACCATGTTTTTCTAAATCATTTTTAATTTCAGAGATTGGGGTGGTGTGGTGCAAATTTTTAATGACAATTCTTCTATTTTTGTCCTCAGGTATCTGATATGTGTGGAATTCAGCACCTCCATTTCTAAGACTACTAACTAGTTTACGGTATACGTGAGGTGTTTTCGGGTAAACTGTTACACCTTTGATAGTTGTTTTCAGAAAAAAATAATTTGGAGCTGCGTTGTTTTCAAGGAATAGGACCAATGCCTGATAATTTTGAACGTCGTTTATGTGTATTGGTGGTGGTTTTTCGTTTGTTTGAACATTTACTGCGGATTGTTCATTTTCGGTAATGGTATTAAGTACATCATAAGAATTACTTACAGATATTGGAGTTGTTACATTTTCTGTTTCGGTTTTTTTGTATTTTCTCGGATCCCTAGATTCATTAGGAAAATTTCTTTTTTTACCCGTTACCAATGCCCAAGCATCACCACAAGTAGCGTCGATTAAGTCCATCCTTTCGTCCCTTACCACAACATTTGTAGTTGGGTTGGGATCCATTTTTCCGTGGATATCACCTTCCACTACGTATGTTCACTTTCACACCTTCTTCCTTCAACTTCGAAAAAGAAAATTTTACGTTTCTACTTGAAAATTCAAATGAAAATTCAAATAACCTTTTTAGTTATAATTTTTTGTGTTTATAGGTTTCTAGCACCATATGTTATCTTAAGCAATGTTAAATTAAAAATCATTATTCTTCTTCTTATAAATTATTGAATTCTTGTATTTGATATGTGTCTTATAGTGAAAATGTGTTCTCTTTAAAAGCATAATCGGTTTGTATAGTTTTTAAAGTGAAAACAGACACTTTACTTATGAGTGCACGCCAGTTAGCTGACTCGAGTGGACTGTCGGATCAGGCCGTTTTGTCAAAACTGCTGAAGAGAAAGGTAAGATCCAATTCAAGTATTTCATCAAAAGACGGGACAAATGAGAAAAAAAGAGCGAATTCAAACAATTCTGTGATAAAAACTACATCAAAAAATCCTAACCAAAAGCAAACATATGTTAATTCACATAACCTCCCTAACTCCACAAATACTGAAATGAATAATTTAATTATTGAAAATAATAACTCTACTACACATATCATTGAATCTATACTAGAACATGATGCTAACAACACTGGAGTACCAGAAAATGTTGTTCAGAGCTCAAATATAACAAATACGCCAACAACAATAAATAGTATCCCTAGCGTTCCGGTCAGTAATAGGTTTGAACCTCTTTCTACCGAAATGGAAGACGAACCTGACGAAACAACAGTTGCTCATCAACCACCTCCAATTAAAATAAAAGGCATAACAAACTTCCAAACTCTATGCACGAATTTAGTAAGCCTTTTAGGAGAAAACAATTTTGAGTGTTTTTCTAACAAATCGATTGTTACATTAAAAATTAAAACAAGTGAAGCCTATAGAATCTGCATTAGATATTTAGAAACCAACAATTACAACTTTCACACTTATCAATCTCAAGAAGACAAACCATATAGGTTTGTTATTAGAAATCTCCATTATTCAACACCACACGAAATGATAAAATATGATCTTGAAAGAAAAGGATTCAACATCCGTCTCATCTCTAATGTGTTACACCCGAGATCAAAAGAACCACTCCCACTCTTCTTTGCTGACTTAGAGCCAGCTCGAAATAATGCTGAAGTTTTTAATAACACTAATTTGGCTTATACAAAAGTCAGGATTGAAGAACCTTACAAAAGAAGAAATATTGTTCAATGTAGATGCCAAGAATACGGACACACCAGAACATTTTGCCATCATAAACCACGATGTGTGAAGTGCGGTCAAGATCATCCTAGTGATAGGTGCCAGAAACCACTTGAAGAGCCACCTGTTTGTGCGTTGTGCAGTGGCAATCATCCTGCGAATTATAGGGGATGCGTAGTGCATCTAGAGTTGCAGAAAAGAAGACTCAACGTGTGGAGCCAGGCCACTTCGAGTAGAGAGGTAACAGAACACCTGCCTCCAGAGGCGGAACACGACCGACTTACTTACACCGTCCCTATCTCGCAAAAACTACACAACATGACTTACTCACAGACAACGTGTACTAAAACTACATATCACAACACAATACCACAATTCACAACTGCTCAAACAACAAGTTTAACTCCTCACTACGCAATCTCTCACAATATTTCTCCTCATCATACAACTCAAATTACTAATCCCAAAACATCAAAGGAATCTCCTCGTTATGTTATCCCTCACAATATCATTCCTCATCATATAGCTCCTCAAATTACAAATCCCCAAACTTCAAATATATCTCCTCACAATGTAATGCATCACAATACCATTCCTCATCATACGACTCCTCAAATTACAGATCCTCAAACTTCAAATATATCTCCTCAATACTCTACTCCTCATACTACAAGTATAACTCCTCAGCACTCAATAAACCAAACGAGGATAATTCCTGACCGTTCAGTACCTCATTATACCCAATCTCAATACATACCGCATCAATACACGTCAAACTCATACTCAAGACCTTATCACACAACATCTAATACACAACCTAATACTCTAGATCTCTCATTATATTTTAATTCCTTCTTAAATGATTTTAAATCTATGATAACTCCGCTCATCACTCTTCTCACCACGCTAATTATCAAATTTATTCCTCATATTAGTCCCTAATTCTATCTCACAACACTCTCTAAAAATCCTTCTTTGGAATTCAAATGGAGCCCTACACCGAAGGAATGAGCTTGACATTTATTTACATGAAAATGACATTGACATTGCATTACTAACAGAAACTCATTTTACTCAAACTACAACATTTTACATACAAGGGTATGTAGTGTAAAATCTCCTGGTTTTGACCTAATCACACCTAAAATTGTACGACTACTACCCAAAAAAGCATTAATCTTCCTGACAGCTTTTTACAATTCTATCCTTCGACTTACTTACTTTCCTCTAGTATGGAAATTTTCAATCATAAAAATGATACCGAAACCAAGCAAACCTTCTGACCAAGTCACGTCTTATAGGCCTATCAGTCTTTTACCCTTATTTTCCAAAATATTTGAAAAATTATTATTAAAACGGCTCTATCCATTTTTAGACAATGTTATTCCTAATCACCAATTTGTATTTAGACCTGCACACTCTACCATACAACAATGTCATAGAGTGATTGATACAATTCCAGTGGCATTGGAAAAGAAGGAATTTTGCACAACAGCTTTCTTAGACGTCTCACAGGCCTTTGATAAAGTGTGGCATGATGGTCTACTTTGTAAAATTAAACGGATCTTTCCGCATACATACTATTTAATCATCAGATCGTATCTTGAGGATAGATTTTTTATTGTTAACCATGATGGTAAATACTCAGACTATTGTCGAATCGGCGCGGGAGTACCGCAGGACAGTATTTAAGGTCCGGTTCTGTACTCAATTTACTCTTCTGATATTCCACAGACATCAGACACATTACTCGCAACTTACGCAGACGACACTGTCATACTCTCGACTGACTCTAATCCGATCACAGCATCTCAGAAAGCACAGATTCATTTAAATCTTCTACAAGACTGGCTTGATAAATGGCGCATAAAAATTAACAATCAAAAATCAAATCAGGTTACATTTACACTTAAACTTTCGGACTGCCCTCCACTGACACTTTACAACACCCCTTTGCCAAATCATACAGAGACAAAATATCTAGGACTTACAATGGACAGACGACTGACCTGGAAATCACACGTGACTACATTAAAAAAGAGATTGAACCATCGATTGTCACTACTAAGACGAATGCTACACCATAAAAACAAACTATCACTTTCTAACAAAATTACTATATACAACATGCTACTCAGACCAATATGGACGTATGCCTCTCAGGTGTGGGGCTCATGCAAAAAAACACACTTACAGACTATTCAAATTTTCCAATCTAAGTTTCTCCGGTATATCACTCATTGTCCCTTCTACATAACCAATAAATCACTTCATAAAGACCTACAAACAGCACAAGTGACTGATGTAATTAAAAAATATTACAAAAATTTTCATGACTCCTTAGCTGGACATCCTAATCCACTTGTACAAACATTACTAACAGATACACTACCTCAGAACCCACGAAGGAGACTCAAACGCCTCTGGAGCAGGGACCTGCTGCATTAAGTCACGTTAGGAGTGCCTTCACTGGGAGGCTTCTCCAATCCCGCATTCACGCTAATCCCGAAGAGGAGGTTCGCAACGAACATCACATTTACAAAATATGCCAAAAGGCATTTGTAAAATTGCTCAATAAATAAATTTATTATTATTATGTATTTCATTATAAGAGCTATAATAAAAATTCACGAAAGTGTTACAATAAATAAAACAGTGTATATTACTACATATTGCAGCTGTATACAGTCTTAATATTTCGAAGTTTTTTGGATTTATTAAAGGAAAAGTAATAAAATTCAAAACATTTATTTTTTTAAAAACACTATATTTACTTAAAAATAACTAGTATATCAATAACAACAAACGTTAATAACTTAAAATTAAGTATGAAACGTGTTAGTCTTTTATATATATATAGAAAATATTTCCAGTAAAAATAAAAGATATACATCGCTCTAAAGGATGTACTGCTTACTTCAATAAAATAGAAACTCGTATAAAATTATATAATACTGCCTTTCAACTAACTTTAAGCTAAAAAAAAAAGAAATAGTTTCCCTGTCTTGTTAAAAAATATAAATCTGGCATTGATATAAATAGGTAGGAGATTTTTTCGTATTGCAGTTTAAGATAAAATGATATTTAAATAAAGATATTATTTTATTATTACAATGGTTAAATTAGCAGTAGAAATATTTATTTATGAAGCCTCACAAATATTAAAGCTTTAATATGAATGTAAAATTTCTCGATCTGTTAATTTTTTTTTCGGTCTTAACTAATTTCATAGTTACTAAGTAACGATTTTAAGTAACAACTTTTGGCTTTATAAGCCTATAAGTAATAATTTGATATATACAATTTAGTTTCCTTGCGTTTTCACATGAATGTGATTCATTTGCGAAAATTGGAATTTTTAATTCAATACGCCATTGAAAATTGATGAAATCAATCTCTTTGTACTTTTCGGACGGTAGCTATGCTGGAGATAGAACTGCCTGAGGTCCCTGAGGTATTCCCGCTGCTGTCTGTGCCCACGCTTTTTTTGAGGGGTGGAGCCTTCGTTTTAGAACTTTGCTTCATATCTTTCGTAGGTCTCTTCTGCTCCTTCCCACTGTCCGGCTGATGAGTGACCCTAGGAATTTTGGAATTGGTCTTTTTCAAATTTGGGTCAGTAAGAGTCGGTTTGATTATTACTCTGGGTTCAGGTCTCTTCTCCACCCTCTTTTCAATTTTCTTTTCTTCTTTGATAAACTTTTCAGATGATGCCTTTTCATCCTTTTGAGATGTCTCCTCATTATCTGATTGCGGTTTCAGCTGCGCATATGAAGTCATGAAGTTGGGTATTGTGTTTCTATTGGACGGCCTCCTAGCAATAGATGTAGGTGTATACCTCGGTGGTGGAGGAGGGGGAATTTTTTTAGGATCTATAACCGGCGTTGCCACAGGTAGTGACATTCTTTTTGTCCTAGTGTTTTCCCCTTCTAGAGATATTTGCGTTCCAGGAAAATCTGGGAGTACCTTAGGATAGTTCCTTCTCCTAATGTTGTCTAACGCATCCTGTGAACAGGTAGATGCTACTTCATCTTCGTCTCTGCATGTGACGTTGATGTCTTTAGAAAATGAACCGAACGTCTTCAGAACTTTTTCTTCTTTCGGTTTTATGTCAGTTGCTAGAAGTTGAGCGGGATCAGAGTTGGAGTGGGAGTGGTTAGGTGGTGCTGCTGACTCTTCTGAATCAATCGCCTCTGATCTATGAAGAGGTTTGAGTGTTGCACCAAGCCTCCTTTTGCCGAAATCCATCGATTTAGTGAGCTCAATTGGAGTCTGTTTGAGAACACTAGCGCTCCTTGCACTCGGTGTCGCGTCAACCGCAACTGAGACCTTCTTTACTTTTCCTTTGCTTCCTTTAGAGGTTGTTCCTGATGACCCCGCTGTCTCGGAAGACTTGTCAGTCTTTACTTTGCTGTGTGTGCTCACCTTTTCCCTGCTCATCCACTGAGATACTTTGGTATGTGGATCCATAGTGACAGTAGAAGAACTTCCTTGGCTGTACATTCCAGTCCACTTCCCTAAAGTTGATGTTTTTATTTTGTTGAGATCGTATAGTCGTTCGTTCGATTTCAGAATGCTCTTGATCTCACACTTGTCCTCCTTCTTGTCGAACTCTATTTCTGGGAGGCTAGGGCTCGATTCACGCCTATTATATCTCGACATTAGGCGTGTCTTTTGAAATTTCTTTTTCTGGTACCAAATGAAGAGAAAGAAGAAAATGTTAATGATAAGGAAACATATGCCGACTAGTATGATCATGGTGGATGTGAAGGCTGAAGCGGAAGTTGCTTCCGGTGTGGCATCTGTTTCCTCTTCTGATTGTTGGGTCGTTGGTGGAGACTTGTCCATGATTGGCCGGATTTCCGTTCTCTTAGAAGGGTTGGGGTTGAGGGGTGAGAATGGCTTTGGTTTCGGATAGAGGGCTTCCCATTCTGGTACGAGCCTCCCAAAGCCTGGAGGAACTGGTTTCTTCCATGGTCGTTCTAATTCCTAAAACAAATGCTTAATCTAAGTAAATCATCTTATACATCACAATAAATATCGATTAATAATACAATATGTAAAATAAAAATAAACTTTGTTAATGCAGTATTGAAATAGTAATTAATTATGTAAAAGTTTTTAAAATATTTTACAAACACTATAATTAAAATTCTGGGAAACAATAATTTAAATGTACTAGAATTTGTTCATGATATATGGATTTATTCATGATATTAAAATATAACTAAATATACATGCTTACATACGAAGAATGGGATTAATGAAACACAATTAGAGAGTTTTAGAATGAAATGATGGTAATTATAGGAGACAGATGAAAGATTTGTTGAACACGAGATGATTTGTGACAAGGGATGATTACCAAACATGACTCATATACCAGTGGTTTCGTTGGCCCGTACAGAGGCTTGAAGTCATGGTGGCCTACGTTCCTCAGGAACATAGGCAGTGTGTGATCCCAAAAGTCTAGAAAATTGTACCTGTATCTGTACTCAAGCTGGGGAGGTATTTCTGAAACAAAATGTCCGTCGACAATGAAGAGTTTGATAAAAGAAATTTAAGAATTTTATTCAATTAGTAAGCAATTGCACAGTATAGTAATGGAAAAACTAAGGTAGGTGTTCGTAATTCCAATATTAGATTATCAACTATATAAATGTTCATTTGTAATAATGAATTTAAAAGAAATAAATCTCAATTATACAAGACAATAGAACTAAAGTTGGGCATTATAAAGTTGAAAATAAACCTGACTTAATTAAAGTAATGACTAAATTTTTAGTCAGGATTCTTTATCATGAAAATTATTCAAAATGACTAACTTTTTCTACACCAATAGCAACTAAAAAAATGTAGTGCGATGCGCGCATCACAAAACTTTCACTTACCACCCTCCTGTTAACAGAAATAAATATTTTCAGACAAAGTGAAGTGAAAGTAAACATTATAGACTCTATATTTATTTATATTTTATTGTAGGTATTTTTTTTGTATAAGTACCCTCATATATACAAGTTTTAATATTTATATCGCTGTAATCTATACAATTAAATATTAAATAATAGCAACAATAACATTTATGAAAACCACATATGTATATTTATATAATGTTGTCGGAGTCCTTATTATATTAATCTCATGATACGTATGGAAGCGTGTTCTAATCTTTCATCTTATTTCTAATCTTTCAACAACTATTCTCCGTTACGATCTCTTATTGTTCCTTTAGTTATTTATCAGATTTTTTCATATTTTATATTTAACCATTTTTCATATTAGAAATTAATGTGAACTGGTCAATTGTTTCAAAGAAAAAAAATTAGAGGTACTTTAGTGGAAGTTAATATTGAAAATTAGCTATTTAAGCCCTGTTAGAGAACATCAATCAGAACAATAAACACATTTCATTCATAACTGCTTAATTTTACACTGATATGATGAATTTAATCAAAATCGTTACAGCGGTTTTCGAGAAAATCGTAAAAATGTGTTTAGTGCATTATATAAAGTACCACTTCCGGTTAGCCGATTTTGACGGAAAAGGTGCTGTAACATCCCTAGCATATAAAAACCTTAATTATGCAATTTCACTTCCGGACAACTTTTCATTTTTGAGCTAGACTGTTAACACACACACATACCATTTTGCGGGTCTTGGTTATTTGGACTCAGAGGGGGACCTCAAAACGTGTATTTCCATTGGAAACTCAAATTCAAATATTTTCACGATTGCAATACTTACTCTTACTATATATTACATATATATAATAAGTGAAAGTAAAAATTTTAGTTATTGATTTTAAATTTGAATTTCAATCGGATAAATGAAATGAAAATGGAATAAAAACTGAATAACCGAAAAACACGAATCAATACCTTCAGAAAATCCATTTCGTCTCGTGTATTCACTAAAAAAAAAAAAGAATGAAAATCGATAAATAAAATTTTTATTTGGAACTATTAACTTCGGAAGATGGTACTCTGGGGCGCGTCAAAAATAAAATACTTTATTACATAATAGTATTTTTTATTCAATTTTTCAACGTTTCGACCTACGTTGTAGGTCTTCTTCAGGGTATCCCATCAGGCATTGCCGAAAGCAATAGGAAGACTCAAGACAGTTGTCCGTGATATTCATTAGACCAACGCAAACGCACAGAAGATTTAATTTATCACTGTATCAAAAACAACAATGCAAACTTAATTTAATGTGTCGTGTTGGTGAATTATTACAATCTGAAAATACTTTCTCCTCTATTGTGCATTCAAAATTATCTAAATAATTTCATATTGAACATTTTTAATTTGTAACTTATTTTTATATTTAAAAAATGTATTAAAAATATACAAATTACTTACATAATTTTCCATAATATTTGGTAAATCTTTCAACAAGCTTGATCAGTGACCAAGTTCTTTCAACTCTTTCAATGAAAAAGACCAAGGTAAATTTAGGACTGGTGAGGACAAGCGGTATTAGTTCGTGGTACTGACACATTTTATCAAATAATTAACATCCGGCTAAAACTTCGTAAATAGCTTCATCTCATCGTGACATCCTAATATTTTATTTACAAAACTCTCGGAATTGTGGCATTTTAAATCTGGAGGTCTGCAAACTTAGTCTATTTAATTAGTTACTATAAACTCATAAATGTCCATTTTCTTTTCACTTGAATCGTTACATAACTTGAGCCGTCTGGCGTGACCTAAACCCCCAGATTAACAAGGTTATATAGGCCAAGCGGCCCAATTTTTTGTACGCCACCGTTTTCATCGCTTTTTTGATCACATTATCTTACTATTAAAGAGGAAAGTAACTGGGTATTCACGATTTTTCATTACCTGATTAAGTAGAAAATGTTGTCATATCTCAAGATTGAAAACGCCCCAATTTCGAGAATTTTGGTAAATAAAATATTTGTAGGTTACGGTGAGAAGAAGCTATCTACGAGTTTTCAGGCGGATGTTAATAATTTGATAAAAATAGGTCTGTACCACGGACTATACTTTTATTTTTTTTATAATTTGAAAAAATTAATTGAAACAACCAAATAAAAATAATGAGGAAAATTCTTTAAATTTAAAATGTTTATTTGTTAGACGAAAAACAATCGTGAAAAATGCGTTACCTATTTTAAATGATGTACGATTTATTGGTTCATAAGCTTCCCAGGTGACATCTCTTAATTTCCACTCCACTGGTCCTGGAGTCAAGTAGTTGGTCCTTTCTGGTAAATTTGGGTTCCTGTAAAAAAGTAAGTTATTGTCTAATTTGATAAAAAAAAAAATTACCATATTCTTTAATAATTTCGTTCATTATACTATTCATTATAATTATAATATATACCACTATTATTAATGTCTGCTCTAATAGATATATTCATTGATGAGAGTAGTCTTACCTGAACGATTTACTCAAAAACAAAGGCAAATAATAATTTGATCTCTTAAGCCATAAAATGAAGCTAGAAGTCGGTACTTCTGAGTAGGTGTAAGTGAAAAGTTTTTTCATATTTTTTAAAAATGTATTTCGTTAAATTTTCATCGTCATTACGTATATCTGTCGTATATAGTTTGAGTCCTGAGAAGAGCGTTGACTATATAATTTTAATATTTTCGCAAATCTTAATTGAAAAATATGTTGATCAATCTTATAAAACAAGCTCTATAATTAGAAAAAAACACTATACTTTGTTGATGGTTCGATTACATATATTTATTTTTTTTAGAAAAGTAATAATAAAAATAAATAAAAGGGTCATAAATTAAATAAATGTGTTGTCAGATTAAGCAATGTCTGTAAAAAATTATAGTAAGCACTGTAATAGTATTATTATTAGAGAAAGTACGAGACCTTTGTTATTTCATAAACCACATAATAGAATCATCACCTCATTTGGAAGCAATACGAATAACTATAAGAAATTTTATGTTTAAAAGGAATAAAAATCAACATAACTCGTTTATTTTATTTATATATTTTTTAAAGTATACTTAGTGATCAATTTGATTTATATCGCATTAACGATAGTGTATTGAAAAATTTGATATTTTTAAGTAGTTTATTTCGATATAAGTTTAACCACTATCATATGCTTACGGGAAATATCACTTGTATATTATACCACATAAATACGATAAAATAGAAAAATATATGTAAGAAATATATGTATATATATTTTTTTTTTAAATTTTTATTATTTTTTTTTTTTTTTTGGGTATACAAAATTTATTTGCGTCTGTTAACTTTTGTTAATAATACAAATATAATACTGGGAATACAAAATATAAATGACATGTCAGGCATGGGGAAGGAAAGTACTCATCCAGCACCTCTTCCCTGACTTGTTTCAATTACTTAGGTTGTTTAAGGATGGAGTTCTCTCATCCAACGCCTTTTTAGTCTGCTCCTCATGTACTACAGTATGTCAGCTGCGGACATGTATGTTATTAATCTGTTGTAATGAACGTTTAAATAAGTATATAAAATCGTTGGTAATGGGCCGATATGTGTTGGTCAACTGTACCTTATCAGTAAAGGAAGACCTGTTCCATTTTTTGGCTGGATGTTCAATGGTTAGTCAAATTCGTATCGAATTTCTTTGAACTAGCCTAGTTCGAAATGATATCCTAATTTCCCTTCTAAATGTCCCCTCTGTGAACGAATGCCGTAAAATTGTCGGATACACCGTTTTAATTTGCTACATTCAGTATAGACAATGATCCATTTAATTTATTTGTAATTAGTTTTATTCATGTTACTGTTTATGATTTCCCTTTTTTTTCTTTAATATTATTTCTTAGATATAAATTATTCAAAATATTTATTATTTTATATTGTATTTATTGTTTTATTATTCATCAGTTATTGATGTATATGTAAAATCTCCATTTGTAGTGTACCTGTAAAACATGTAAAATTTCCGGCAGACGAATAATCATGCCGTAAAAATGTTCTGTGTACTTTTGAAATTTATAATTTATGTATATTTGATAAAGAATTTCTCGTTCGTGTTGGTCATTTGTTGGATGGTGGAGAGTTCAGTATGCAGAGTTTTTTTTAGCTACGTACCATGGTGCTTTTGTTATGAATTACCATAATTTTGATTGGAACGTTTGAAGTTTTTATAGGTGGATCTTTTCAGCGATACCGTTTATTTGAGATGATTATATCCATATGGGTTTAAGTAAGTATGCATATGTATTCAGTTTCAGTTTTGAAGATATAGAAAAAAAGTAGTTTGAGTCGTTTTGTTATGTCATAGGTTTCATTTTTACATGAGGACTTCTGTCGAAGGTGAGCCAAAGGTAAAGTACCGTGTCCGTTTAAGGGATTTGATTGTTATAAATATGAACTGGAGGGCAGGTGTTTTTTTCTAAGAGTAAATGTAATATGATTGGATTTGTCGTGATTAAGTCGAATGTTCGAAGGATTATTAATTATAAGAATCGACTTATGGTACAAGTAATCCTAATAATACTAATTATATATAATTATATAACCAATAACAATAAAAATAAAATATATTTTTTTTAATTATTGAAATTTACAACTGTATTAAATGATAAATACAATACAACAAGTAAATATGAAATAAGTAACATGACATATACAACATGAAGACAAACTACCCATTAGTACCACTCTAATTATATTTCTATATTAGAAGGTTCCGAGGCCATTTTCTTTTCAGACTTCTCGGAGGGTTGTCTGGAATAGAAGACGAAACAAGGATGGAAACAAGAGAGTTCGGATGGTCCAGAAGTTTATTATGGAAGGATAGGTATCTGGATTAAAAACAAAATAATAAATACAAATATTATAAAGGGAAGATTGGATGAAAATTTTATATATATCGTTATTTGTAATAAATTTATTAAGTATGAAAAAGTCATTTTTGAAAGGAATGTGTGAATTTATGCTCTAAAAAAGGTGTCCGGGTCACCTTATAAACCGTGGAGATGATCTTATAACAAGAATAAAAAAACTCCTTAGGAGGTGTTAGATTCTGAAGCTTGTTAAATATTCAATGGTCTTATAATGCGCAATAACATGAGATAATGAATATTGCGCGCAAGCCCTCCCGCTAAGACGAAAACCCCAGAGGAAATTAAATTTAACTACCCAAGTCCCCTTAGCAGTGGTCTACGTAGATAAAACGCATCGTAAATTCATGAAAGCTTTTAGCGGCCTTAGTTAGCAGCAGGTAAAATATCCTCCCCCCCCCTGTCCCTCCCGCAAATCTAGTGGCCCCCCCTACCGCACATTTAAACTTTCAAGAACCCATTTGTCATGTCAAATTTCTTCACACAACACCGATTTGTACAAATCCATCATCTGAGTAAGATTATTACTACAACAGAGGTCACGAAATTTGATCAATTACAGGATCATCAAAAACAGTTTACGAAATGTAAGCGATAGTATCCCATCGGAGTTCCGACATTTTTCAGATTTCTACATAATTATTTTCTTTATAAAAAATATATTTTTAAAATAAATACCAAACTACATAAGTTGGAAATACATTCTAATGTGAGATTTATTATTAAAAGAAAAACCAACCAGGTCTTTAAAAGATAGCCAGAAGTATACAATAATTAAAAATATTAAATCGAATACATTTTTAAATGATCTTCAACTTAAGCTTAATATTATTGGGTATGGAATAATTAGTCAAGTTGATTTTACCCGCTAAGTAACCGGTTTACTTAAAAATCATAAATTATTCGCAATTTTTTTTTATTATCATTCAACTATACTAAAGTTACCACGCTTTTAGAAAAATTATTATTATATATCACAGAATTACGCTACAGTTTTAATATAATTTATGTATATTTAAAAAAAATATATAACTGTAAGCTTATTATTTATTTATTTTTGTCTTTGAGAAGTTTAAAAAAATGCAAATAACTTCCACTTGCTTTCTCTGTCAGTCCAGTCATCTAAAATGTTAAAACCTTTTCTAGAAAAGCTGTGATAGAAAATAAAGATTTTTGGGAGTTAGAAAAAAAAAAATAAAGTAAACCGGTTACTTAACAAGTAAACTTTATTTTATTTTTTTCTAACCCCCCAAAAAGTTTATTTAATTAAGTTAGATATATAAGTATAACACTACTAATATATACAAATAACAAAGTCCTTCCACTGCCCGAGGGGATAATCATTATTGTTGAATAAATTTCGATACTTTTTACTTAGATTTAAGTTTTGTCATTTAACCAGTTTCTATAGTGTTGTTATATACTTTATTCCAGCCGAAACTAACATTTAAAATTACATCTCCAAGAGATTGAAAATGAAAGTAAAAATATATCTTTTGCTTTCTCTTCATGAAAAAAAATATCACAGCTTTTTTAGAAAACATTTTAACATTTTAGATGACTGGGCTAACATAAAAAGCAATGTATGCTATTTGTGTTTTTTTTTTTATAACTTCTCTAAGATATAAACATTTAAAGAATAACCTTACGATTAAAGATAATATTTTTTTTAAATATACATAAATTATATTGAAACTGTGGTTGACTTCTGTGAATATGAAATAATAACTTTTTTCTAAAAGTGGGATAACGCATTTAACGAGTTTCTATACAATTTCTCACTCATGTTATAAACTTTATTCCAGCCGAACCTAACATTTAAAATTATATCTTCAAGAGCTTGAAAATGAAAGTAAAAATATATCTTTTGCTTTCTCTTCATGAAAAAAAATATCACAGCTTTTTTAGAAAACTTTTTAACATTTTAGATGACTGGGCTAACATAAAAAGCAATGTATGCTATTTGTGTTTTTTTTTTTTTATAACTTCTCTAAGATATAAACATTTAAAGAATAACCTTACGATTAAAGATAATATTTATTTTAAATATACATAAATTATATTGAAACTGTGGTTGACTTCTGTGAATATGAAATAATAACTTTTTCCTAAAAGTGAGATTGCTGGAGGATAGTTGAATGATGATAAAAAAAAATCACCAATAATTTATTATCTTTTAGCTTATAAAAGCAGAATTTAGCTTATTTTAGCAGCTCAGATGTCCTATCAAAATGGTTTTAATAATGACAAACGTCCTTTTGAATTAAAGTAAAATTTTATCGAGTTTACATTGAAGTAATTATTAATTACTTAAATTAAATATTTCTTTAGTAATCGCTTCCTATTCAACAAAAAAACAAGACTTTAAAAAAAAACGCACTTTTTTATAATACATTGCATTTCCTACTTCAGCCTGTA